TTGGAGGCTGCAGATCACGGATTTAGGTTGAGGCTATTCTTTATCGATGATCAAGTCTATTAAACACCGATTCATGTGAAATATTATCGGGACCATTTTTGTCAGATGCCAAAGGGGTATCATCACATATTTAATACGATTTTTTGGAAAGGCAATTTTCCTTGGATTTTGAGGGCTACGGGACACAAATTCCGCCGCCTTAGGGTACTCTTCACCAATGATGCAGTCTACTACTCGCCAATTTGAGTAGAGTTTTGGTAGATAATTTTCTTAATTTTTGCGTGATTTTTTCGAAATGTCATTTTCTTTAGATCTCGAATGCTGTAGATCAGGGATTCAGCGTGAGGCTATTCATGAGCAATGATTAAGTCTATTAAACATCGATTCGGGAGGAATATTGTCGCGGCCATTTTTGTCAGATTCCAATGGTGTAGGTAATGCAGTTAAAAGCGCGATTCTATCTAGAAGCGGAAAATGGGTAAAATCGTAAAACGTAGAATCAAAGCGTAAAATCGTAAGTTTTTGACGCAACCTCTAAAATAGATTAAGTACAACATATAGTATGTAAAATGTGAGTATGTAGATTTTAGATAAGTGGATAACTACATTAAATTCATAATTAAAATGTAATATCTAACACAAACTAATTTGCGTTGACTCAAAAGTAGAGAAAACTCATAGCATCTTAATAATAAGCTCATAAACGTAGATCGTAACCCGTAAACGAGCTTGAGAATCTAAATTCTCGTAAGCTGGTTTGAGTTTACATAATTACATACGATCAATTACCCATAAACTTTCATCGTAACCCAGGAAAGAGCCACAGGTGAAGATTAAGGGAGAAAACTAATAGAAGGTCAGCGACTGTTGAGAATACCATTAGGTGTCTTTTGAACCTAATGTGAAGCCCCTATTTCGACAATAGTTGTAGAAAGAGTGATGAATCATGTTTTCCTTTTTTTATTTTTTGCTGATAAGTCTCCAAAATTACATCATTTTTGGCCAATTAGCACATTTTAATGAGATGATCAAAATCGTATAAAAACGCTTCAGAATCGCGATTTTATCAATTTTACCAATGTTTTTACCAGTTTTTGTGACTAAGCGATTTTAGGTAGAAACTGAAACGTTTTGGTGGCCTGGATACGTAAAAACGTAAGTTCTTACGTTTTAATGCGCGATTTTGACTGCACTCGTAGGTACCATCATAGATTTCAGGCAATTTTTTGAAAAGACAATTTTCTATGGATTTTGTAGGCTCCGGATCACCGATTTGGTTTTAGGGTACTCTTCACCAATGATGAAGTCTACTAATTGCCAATTTGGGTGAAATTTTGGTAGAATTTTCCCTGAGGGCATTTTAGTAAATTTTAGGGGATTTTTTTGATAGGCCATTTTTCTTAAATTTTGAAGGTTGCAGATCATTGATTAACCCCGAGGCTATTCTTTAGTGAAGATTAAGTCTATTAAACACCAATTTGGGTGAAATATTGTCGGGGACATTTTTTTAGATTCCAAAGGGGTACCATCACGGATTTCGTGCGATTTTTTGAAAATGCAATTTTCTTTGGATTTTGAAGGCTATGGATCACAGATTCTACCTCACGGTACTCTCCACCAATGATAAATTCTACTACTCGCCGATTTGGGCGAAATTTTGGTAGAATTTTTCTGGGAGTTATTTTCATTATTTTTGGTTGATTGTTTCGAAAAGTCATTTTCCTTGGATTTTAGATCACGGATTCAGCGTCAGGCTATTCTTTAGCGATGATTAAGTCTATTAAACATTGATTCAGGCAGAATATTGCCAAGGCCATTTTTGTCAGATTCCAAAGGGGTACCATAACAAATTTCGGGCGATTTTTTGTAAAGGCAATTATCCTTGGATTTTGAAGGCTACGGATCACAGATTCGGCCTTAGGGTATTCTCCGCCAATGATGAAGTCTACTGATCGCCGATTTGGTCGAAATTTTGGTAAAATATTTTCGGAGGCCATTTTCAGGTGATTTTTTCGAAAGACCATTTTCTTTAGATTTTGAAGTTTGCATATATACATATTCAGCCTGAGGTTATTCTTTAGCGATTATTAAGCCTAATAAACACCGATTCAAGCGGAATATTGTCGGGGCCATTTTTGTCAGATTCCAATGGGGTACCAAAACAGATTTCATACAATTTTTAGGAAATGCCACTTTTCTTGGATTTTGAAGGCTACGGACCATAGATTCGGCCTTAGGGTACTCTCCGCCAATGAAGAATTTTACTGATCGCCGATTTGGGCGGAATTTTTGTAGAATTTTTCTGGGGGGGGCATTTTCATATTTTCTGGGCGATTTTTTCGAAAGGCCATTTTCCTTAGATTTTGAAGGCTGCAGATCACAGATTCAGTTTGAGGTTATTCTTTAGCGATGATTAAGTCTATTAAACACCGATTCGGACGGAATATTATCGGGGCCATTTTTGTCAGATTCCAAAGAGTACCATCACAGATTTCAGGTGATTTTTTGGAAAGGCCATATTTTTTTTCGTGAATAAGTTTCCTTTCCATTAACTCAAACGAAACAGTGAGACCAATTAGCCTCACCAAAACTGATTACAACGAGGGGCATATCATATCCCAGTATGGAACTACACGTGAAACAGAACAAACAACCCAAAGCAAAACCCACCCTCCCACTATACTACCATGGACTACTCTCTATAATGCAACAAACGGAAGACCCGCCTGCTGGCAATCATGCATCAGCACAGGAAATCGCTAATTAAAAATAGTAAATCATTTTTCCAAAGACCTGCAACTACATCAGCTTTTCGTGGACTTTCCCAGTGACTCCTTCGACATCGCTCATGCCAGATGAAGGTGATCAAAGAAGTCCAAAGCAAACAATATAGCCTACCCATAGATGTGTGTTTCCTCGCAATCGTACACGCCTCTAAGAGTCTGGAGTCCCACGTGCTACTTCTTAAACCCTGATCAATGCCTCTCATCATCCTCTGCGAGAAACTACATTCAAAAAATAAATGGTCCCTCGTCTTACTACTCTGTCCACACAGAACACATCCATCATCACTCGCTCTCCCCCACTTGACCAGCTTAACATTAGTAACCATAGCATTCATGACCATGATCCAAGCTATTACACTCCAACGTGGTACAGAGAAGTTACCCCATATTAGATGATGTCAGACCTTATTGCTTCCATGAGGACGAAGTGTATCATATACATGACTAACAGAATACAAAGGCATTTTTTGCCCATTCCACAGGCCTACAGTCCCCTGCAAACCCATGTATGAGTGAACATTAACCCTTAACTTGAGGATACGCCTTCATGCCCATGAACTTGAAGCATTAATCTTCATAGTCCATAGATCCCCACTTTTGCAGTGGTAGGCCAACATCCAGGCAACCCAAAGATTTAAATGAGGTTGAATGACTAGGATTCACTTAGTCATGTGACTAAGGGACCCCCTTAGTCACTTGTTCTTACCCGAATCATAATTAGATGCAGAAGCTCCAACCGGTGACATAGTTAAATTTTATTTTTTACTTTATTTAGCATGAAATGAAGATAATTAAATATTAAAAAAGGAAGCTGGATCCACCAATAACAAACTAATATATGACTGAATAGAGTTTCTGCATCCAACCAAGATTGGAACTAAGAATTGTCCTCTTTTGCCTGTATTTCACTCTGCCATGCCCTTATCACCTATTACATTTCTCCTAGCGGTTACTACAAATTGGCAAGTTTGCGTGAAAATTCAAAATTGACCTTTTCATGTTATAGTTCATAATTATCCTTAGTCATTATTCATTTCATCTTTTCATATTATTTTCTTACAATTATTCATAGTAAATTAGGAATTAGAGTATTCATCACATTTTTTGTTTGAATCTTATATTTAATAATCATTCAAAATAATGCCTTAACTTTTTTGTTGGGGACCGTCATAGTTTGGAAGTATTAAAACTGAAAAGTACGTCCAATCTTTTGTAATCTGAATGGCTAAACCTCGCCCTAGTTTTACTATCGCCATAACTAATTAAAGGTATAAATTACTTAAACAACCTTAAAAAACCAAATAAAATTTAACGAAACAAACATGCCCTTATCTCCTTCGTCGAACCAAACATCTCAGGAAATACAGGTCCTCTTCGACGAGGCAGAGCCGGAACAGAATCGCATCGTCGTCCAAAGAATCTCCGCCGCCAAGCCATCTCTGCCATCGGTAACTACAACTGCGAAGTTCTCTCCGGGCACGATCTAATCCCGATCCCGGACCACCGGAAGCACCTCCTAGCCTTCCTCCACGGCGGCGGCGGAACCCACTTTGCCGCCCGATTCACCGCAACCAAACTGGATAAAAAACCTCGCAATATAAAATCCTAATCAGCTAGCATAAGAGGGTAAATCTAATCAGCCGGGCGCTGTAGAGAAAAGATGTGACGATCGCTCTCCAGCAATTTCTATAGGCGTTGTCTCCTCCTTGGTTCGTCTCGCAGCATCGATTAAGAAAAACCCTCTTATAGTAGTCTTTCTTCCTTGTTTTTTAATTACGTAACTTCAACTGTACTTGCAACGGGCATTTAGTTTTTGTTCATTTTCTTAACAAGCTAAGGCATTTTGCTGGGTGAGGCGTGAGGATGGAGGGGAGTGGTAGTTCGCCATTCTTCCGGACGGGAAGAGGATTAAAGGAGGTGTTTATTAAAATAAAAGGATAAAAATGTAATTCGAATTTTTAAGTTAGGGCGATTATATTAAAATCTAGGGCGACGATTAGCAACTCTCGATTGACCATATCGTAAAGAGCACCGATCATCAAACCATATTCATTCTAACGATCCTAAAATTTCGATATACTTATAATCTTATATTCATGGTTGTCCCCAAAATTACCGATGTATTATCCCTTGTTTTTTCATCACAACGATTTATTTTATTTCCTTAGACAAAAAACATACCTAGTTTGATATTCCGTTGGACCGATTCATATTTCCTTATATCAATGTAGCATTTAATTTTTTCTTTTGTAACCGGGGAAAAACATTTAAAACAATAAACTTATATAGATATGGCAAATACGGGCGCCACTTGGCAATATTAGGGCATACATGCTTTTTTTCACAATCTTTTTTATAATTTCCTTCCCCAAAAAAACACACAGGAAAACCAATATACCCCCCCCCCCCCCCAATCTCGTATCCCGAGGCAGAGCATATAACGCACACAGACAGACAAACAAACAAACAGAGACACCACCGCGTGCCAAAATGAAGAGCCGCCCTACAAATATTCTCCCCGCCGTTCCGTTCCTTCTACTCCTCTTCCTCTCTCCCCCTTCTCCGGCCACCGGCGCCGCCGCTGATGCCTCCGTGTACCAATCATTCCTCCGCTGCCTGGAAACCAACACCGCCCCAGAAGACAAGATCTCCGACCTTGTTTACTCCCCCACGAACCGGACCTTCAATTCGGTCCTCCAGGCCTACATCCGTAACTCCCGCCTCAACACTTCCTCCACCCCCAAACCCTCAATCATCATAACCCCGACCAAAATCCCCCACATCCAGGCCGCCGTCCTCTGCACCAAGGCCGCCGGCTACCAGCTCAAGACCCGCAGCGGCGGCCACGACTACGAGGGCCTCTCCTACGTCTCCGACTCCCCCTTCTTCATCCTCGACATGTTCAATTTCCGCTCCATCGAAATCGACGCCGCCGCCAAATCAGGCTGGGTCCAGGCCGGCGCCACCCTGGGGGAACTCTACTACCGGATCTGGCAGAAGAGCAACGTCCTGGGTTTCCCCGCCGGGATCTGCCCCACGGTCGGAGTCGGCGGGCACTTGAGCGGCGCCGGGTACGGGAACCTCCTGAGGAAGTACGGCCTCTCGACCGACAACGTCGTCGACGCCCAAATCGTCGATGTGAATGGAAAACTTCTCGACAGGGCTTCGATGGGGGAGGATCTGTTCTGGGCGATTCGCGGCGGTGGCGGAGCCAGTTTCGGCGTTATCATCGCGTACAAGATTGTGCTCGTCCCCGTCCCCGAAACGGTTACCGTTTTCAGGGTAGAGAAGTATTTGGAGCAAAACGCGACCGACATGGCTTATCAATGGCAGCTCGTGGCTCCCAAGACAACGAAAGACCTGTTCATGAGGATGCTCCTGCAGCCGGTGAGTTCGAAGACGAAGAAAGGGGAGACCACGGTTAGAGCGTCGGTTTTGGCAGAGTATTTGGGGAATGCCGACAGCCTCGTGGCGTTGCTGGGTAAGGAATTCCCTGAATTGGGGTTGAAGAAAGAAGATTGCTTGGAAATGAGCTGGATTCAGTCTGTTCTATGGTGGGGATTGGACAACGAGACGAACCCAGCAGTGCTGCTGAGCAGGCAGCCGGAATCGGTCAATTTTGGCAAGAGGAAGTCGGACTACGTTCAGAACCCCATCCCGAAAGCTAGCTTGGAATGGATTTGGAAGAAGATGATCGAGTCGGGTAAGACAGGGTTCGTGTTCAATCCGTACGGTGGAGCGATGGACGAGGTACCAGCGACGGAGACGCCGTTTCCTCACCGTGCAGGGAATCTTTACAAGATTCAGTACTCGATTTCGTGGAAGGAGGCCGGGGTTGAGGCGGAGAAGAAGTATTTGGGACAGATTCGGAGGATCTACAGCTACATGACACCCTTCGTTTCGAAGAATCCGAGGAGCGCGTATCTGAACTACAGGGATTTGGACATCGGTATCGTCCAGCCTGCAAGTAAGAACAGCTTCGACGAAGGGAAGGTGTACGGCGGGAAGTATTTCAATGGAAATTTCGAGAGGCTGGTGAAGGTGAAGACTGCGGTCGATCCCCACAATTTTTTTTGGAACGAACAGAGCATCCCTGTGCTTCCAAGTAAGGCATAGAATCAAAATCATTGAAGGGTCCTTTTGTGTATTGCAATGAGTGTAGTCATAGTGGAATTGGTTACACAGGCAGAATGATAGTGAAAAAGGGAAATATTACAGCGCGATCATATTGATATTTGTTTGATAGTAATAAACTGTTGAAGTAAAATTCTTATTGAGAATGGACCATTCTATGTTGTGATGGATTACTGTATGGCTTTAGGTGTTGAAATTTGGAAGCAAGCATTAGAGATGTGGCTGTGAGTTCGTGACGTGAAAGTTGAAACTATGGCAAACCAAGGCACATGGTGGTGGGGCGCCAATATTCCAGTTGAAAATGTTGAATTCAGTTGGGTTGGGTTTTTATTAGTCTCCTTCCCCACTACCGACCTTTCTCATCAGCTGGTGGGTTAGGGACGCCCTAGCTCCATGTCGACGTCGTTGGATATGTGCATATGTAATTGTTAGATTGCCGTCGTGTACATCTTATTGCTATGTAATGTGGAATGCGCACGACATAACCCTTTTCTCGGACTTGATTGTTTAGTGTTTGACCTACAGTACTATTCCATTATGTCATAGTCACCTACTATTCCGCCGCGTCTGTTATCGGCCTCTTTCGAAATTCAAAGCCGCAATTGATGTTTGTTGGGATGTGTCGACTCTTCCAACTCCAAGGCATGCCGTGGATTGTCTTTGAGTCTCTGTTTTTTTAGTTCTTCCTCTCCTAAAAGGGATGCACGCGATGTGTTTGATAGAAGTCCTCAATGAGACTCTTGTGTTTCTTTATTGCAGGAAACAGCTCGTGGGGACGCCGGGGTTCGGTGGTGGAGGCGTCGCTGCTCGTCACGGATCTAATAGTGGCGCTCCTCGTTGGCTTTGTCCTTTCCCCTACCCTCGTGATTGGAGAATGAAGACCACTGTTTTGCACTTGGGTATCTTTTTGCGAATCCCGCTATTCCACTTCTGGAGCCACAAGCGGGGTGCTAGTCTAGTAATCTAAACGTGATCTTTTTTCCCCAAAGTTTTCTTAGTGGGATCCGTCTGTCGCACTCGTACATATCACATGAATAGGCTAATCCAACTAGGACTAAATTAACTACGTACGCAGTCTCCCCCCACCTCCATAAGAATGACAGAATGGCCGTGTCGTGTTCGTTGGGGTGATTGATGATGGAGACTACTTGTGTGACTTTTATAATCAACCTCATATGAAAGATTGTGGGAAGTTACCTCTCTAATCTTCATTGGGTGCGAATTCAGTGCTGAAAATTTCTTGAACGAAAATGTAATATTTGAACGACGAAAACAAGGTTGTCAAACTGGTCTAAACCAATAAGATCGAGTTTGAATAACTTTGACCGAAGTATGTAAGAAATCCCATTTATGTCAATCACCATCACCAACCTTATTTTAATACTCATTTAATTTCCACCAAAGAGGACATAAGGTGATAGCATCCTTAGTACTATAATCGTAATAATACTTTACGCTAAGTGCAACAGGATAAAGCCAACCAAAAAAGTTACGAAATAATAATAATGCTACCACTCTCGATCCCTCAATTGGTATTCACCTAGTTGCGGTACCCTTATCCCTTCTCTTCTCTACCATTGATTGGAAACCATATGTCGCATCTTTCAATTATCGCCTTCCCTTACTCCTTTGAAAAATCGAGAGCGTACATCATGAAAAGAAATACATCTCTAATTGTCTCTGTAGTTAATTCGAAGGAAAACAAAGTCACCTCTTTATGTAGCGATCAGATATTCTCGGTGTCAATATTTGTTCTCGCCACAAACTCCGACAAAGACTTTTCAAGTTATCCCCGACGTTGATAACATTTGAAAATTAGCGTTTTTTACTCTCTTTTTTTTTAGTGAAGCGAAGCAAAGCAAAGCGAATGTTGGATAAGGCCGAAGTGGATTCTGTCATTGAACAAGATTGAATATGGATTAAGGAAGCCCAGAGATCCATGACGGCCCAAGCATGCTCCATGACTGGAGTGTCATGGCCCACTGAAGATGGAAGAACCCAACCTCAAAGATACAAGCATCAAGGCCCATTACACAACAGTACCAAGATAACCCGAGATGTTCGAAAACAGTAGAGCTAGAGCCTATATACCTCTCTTCCAACCAAGATACCAAATAAGAACTTTTTGAAACGGTGGAGGATGATGGTCAAAGTCCAAGTATGACGTGATTTACATATGTGAAACGGTGGAAGATGTTAGATGTAGGCCATAATTTGATTACTACCGATCATGAAGCACTATAGCTTTTGATGATTTGGTTTTGGATTTGATAAATCATTGTTTAGAAGGATTTAAGTGAATTGAGATTGTGTATTGATAACATCTTCAATGTGATCAACTGATCATGCACTATGTAAAGTCGTATTGCTCAGTAAAGCATCCAAAAGATAGCAATTACTCATAAATTATTGAATTTAATCTGCAAGACGAATTTTGTTAGGGCGATGAGGTAATAGAGATGATAAAATTACTTCTTCCAACTCTTTTCTCCTTTGTGAAATTCCAAATCTTGTCACTCTAATTGTTATTTCACCTTTAAAATTTTCCATGTATTCTTAATTAAGTTGTCTCCAAAACTCAAGGTATATTTAAAATCACTTGAAAATCCAAACTATGATATATGGAAATACCTGGTGTAGAGACCCGCCATTTATCTGATGATTATTGTATGTAAAGTAATTTATAACGAAAATGATGCATATACACATACATGTCAAGTAAATCTGCGATATCTAATTTTTGTCATGTAAATCCTCTTTTTTGGTATAAACGTTGAAGAGAATTTTCAAAGTAGGCAAATATATTGATTCTTATATATTACTGTTGGAAAATATGATAAATATTCTTTTATTTGATGCTATAGATATTTTTTGCCATACTCAAATTATATTCAATTTCTAATTCAGTATGCTTTTCCTCCATTATAAATATGTTACAAAAAACATCAAACAAAGACAGAAATATCATAATTCTCTCTAAACGGCCCCTCATATATACAATCTTCAATCCTTATCCCAATTCTCCTTTTCTTTCTAGATTCCTGAAGTGGTGATGAACAATAACAAAAGCAATATCTCGGTCGTTAGTAAAGCAAATGGGAGGCAAAACTTCAAGAGGAAAAAAATTGAGAAGAAGTAGATATCAAGATCACCTTCTCCAAATGCAAGCCATGTATATAAGAAAGTAAGTGAGCTTGTCACCCTCATGTCATGTGTAATGAGGTAAAGTTTTTGGCTTTCTTTCATGCAGGAAAATCATTCGCCTTCAATATTCATCCTTTCAAAGACCTTGCACATAAGTACTTGGGCCAACAATAGGAGTCTTAACCACCTTCTGTTCAAGAAATGCTTAGACAAGCTAACACCCAAGAGCTAAACCTAAATCTTAATGATCACCTCCTCGAGTTGATAAAGGAGGGAAAAAACATGAATAAATAATATTGATGGAAACGATCAAGAGAAAATCACTAAATAATTGACAGAACGAGAGGTAAATGAGCTTATAGGTTCCGAAACTTTCTATTCTCCATCCTTTCTAGGAGTTCCAAGTAGGAAGTTTCACGACCTGCAAGCTCATTCACTCCATTTCCTCCAAATTCCGATTCTACCAATTATTTATTGGCTTGCCTCAACACCATTTCTTCTTGCTTTTCCTCCTCCATAAACCTGAGCAGCTCATTAAGAGTTGGTAGCTCATAGATCTTTGCTTGTCTGAGCATTTTTCCTATCATAAGGTGTTTGAGGCTCCTGTTTGTTAGTGGAAAAAATCCCACTGTACACACGTTCTTAAAAAAAAATTCCCAAAATACATAAGTTATAAAAAAATTTCCCAAAGTACACATGTTTGTCATTCACAGTTTTTGACAAACGCAGTGAAGGGGATCACCGCGTTTGACAAAGACGGTGAATATTTCACCGTTTATAAGAAAAACGGTGACGTATTCACCGCGTTCATCTAAAACGGTGATGTACTCACCGCGTTTGAATAGAACGGTGAATACATCACCATTTTAGTTAAAAACGGTGAATACATTCACCGTTGTAGGGTAACGCGGTGATCTTTTCCCACGTTTCCCACCCCTGGTAGGTCAAAATTAGGTCACAACTAGCTATTATTCACCGTTTGAGACAAATGCGGTGATGGTGTTCACCGTTTTAGACAAAAACGGTGAATAGTTGGCAGATTTGGTTATAAATACCACACCACCAGCAGTTGTAAAAACATAACCACTCCCCTTTCTTCAAATTTCAGCAACCAAAATCGATCATAATACACAGAACAGGAATTTTTCGGTATGTTGAGACTTTTCGTATTATAGTCTAATTATGTTTTTAGTAGTTATAGTATGATTTAATTTTCGTATTATGTTGTTGTTAGTTAGTTGAATTTATGTTCGTTAGTTATGAGATGGATAATATTAGTTGTACAATATGATTTTGGTTAATTTTACTGTCTTTAAGCTAATAGATACTTATTGTAAATTGTAGATATGGGTAAATTCAAGAAGTTTCATCTTACTATTCGGTGGAATGGAAGGGTGACAAACTCTGACATAGGCATTGATTATGAGGAGGGCGAATCCACTATGCTGAAAATTGAGTCCCGATTCAATTTTCAAGAACTCTGTGATATTTGTGCAGACAGGGTTTGTACGAGCGGACAGACGAGACTTGGCAAAATTACTTACCAGTATCCAGACATGAGTGCTGGCGGGGTCGTGTTCCAAGAAGTTGTCATAAACGATGATGACGCGGTTACGATGATGTTATAGTTCCTAACCGATAACCAAGTCCGGCTTGCAGAGGTGTATGTTGAGACCGAGGCGGTCGGTGAATCTCATTCTCACCAGTATTCTTATGATGATGGTTTTGCAGGAGGGTACGGATGGGGTGGTAGTTCGAGCAACTACGAAGGCGGTGGTTATACAGGAGGTTACGGAGAGGGTGGTGGTTCAATCAACTACGGTGGAGGTAGTAGTGCAGGATGGGTGCCATCGGAAGGGATCAACCGAATTAATTCTGGCCACCCTTCACCGCGTCTCTCAGAAACGGTGAAGTCACCGCTTGCATTAAAGGCAGTGAATGACGCGGATCGAGCCGACGTGGCCAAGCGTGAGGCGTCGGATCTGGGAAGAAAACCACGATCCGCGCCTCACCGCATCCAATGGCCACGGTGAACGCGCCAGCGACGCGGATCGCTGACGTGGACCAACGCGGGGTATTCACCGTGTTTAACACGGTGAATACCCCGCGTTGGTCCACGTCAGCGATCCGCGTCGCTTCATCATGGATCATTAAAACGGTTTCAATTCACCGTTTTTTATTAAAACGGTGATGCATTCATCGTGTCTGTTTAAAACGGTGATGCCTTCACCATTTTACAATAAGACGGTGAATACGTCACCATTTTTTTTTAAAACGGTGAAATATTCACCGTCTTTGTCAAACGCGGTGATATACTTCACCGCGTTTGTCAAAAACGGTGATGCTCAAACATGTGTACTTTTGGAAAAAAATTTATAACTTATGTATTTTGGAAATTTTTTTTAATAACTAGTGTACTTTGGGATTTTTTCCTTTGTTAGCTCATGTACCGATGTGCAAGGTCTTCAAAGGAATGATGGTTAAAGGTGAAAAGTTTGTTTGCATGAGATAAAACCAAAAATTTTATCTCACTATTCGTTTGGGCGACAACCTCGTTTGCTTTCTTATATATACCTGACCCTGCGCTTTGAGAAGTTGATCATCATGTCTGCTTCTTTCACAATCTTTTACCTCTCATTTATTATTTTGATGATAGAGTTTTTTTGTCATCGAACTATTTCTCAGAGTAGGGGTGGTAATCGGTCGGTAACCGGTTAACCGGTTACCGGTATACCGTTCATGACATGGGAGCAATCGATTACCGATACCGGTTAACTGGTTACCGAACACCCGGTTAACAGTTACATATCGGTTATACCGACTACCATGAGACCCCCCCCCCCTCCTCTCTTTCTCATTCCCACAACCATACTCTATCTCTCTCCCCAACCCTCCCCTGACCTTCTCTCTCTCGTTCACCTCTCCCCAACTCTTCTCAGACCTCCTCTTTCTCGATTTCCTCTCATCTCCCCAACCCTACTCCAATCGCCGCTCATCGCTGCCGTCACCGTCCTCTCTCGATCCAAATCCATATCTCCGGTCGACACGATAGTTCCGTCGCTGTCTCGAGCGTCCCCAGCCAGACTGGTGCCCTTTTTCGAGTCCCGAATCAGCAGCGGCGGCGGCGAGGAGAAAGAGGAGATGAGTGAGGCGACAACCATCCCGCCGCCATCTCGTCGTAGACAATGATCGTAAAATCTTAGGATTTTACTTAGGGATTCCGATCCTGATTTTACTATAAAATCGATGGACCTTAAAATCGTTCAAAATCGGGATTAAAATCGTTAAAATCGTAAAATCGTACCAAAATCGGGATTTTGATCCTATGTGAACAAAATAGCGAGCTTGAGCCAATTCAAAAGAAGCAGAATTGTTTCGGTGGAAAGGGCAATGACGGCAATCTTCTCATATATTTTTCCTATTAAAAGAATATTTAAAAAGATGAAAAAAAAAAATTAGGGTTCGGTCAACCCCTTTCCCTTCTCCTTGTTTAACTCATCGGTAAAACAATTGTCAGAATATTGTTAGTGCGTAAGAATTAACATCATTATTAACAAATTATTTTATTAATGAATATATTTGTACCAAACCAATGACATTAATTATTTTATTGGATTTCAGTTATTCTTAGTTTTATATCATGCTTAGTAGACGATGTCGGAATACTACTTTGAGTTAAACTACCTAGACACAACATGAAAAACAAGATCCAAACCCCATGAGCTCTATCCCTTCCTCATAAATGATTTTGAGTTACACATTACATAACAATTAAAATGATGATTTTGGAACATTAATCTTGAAAATTATCATTTTAAATGTTATAAGTCTTTGTGTTATTAATTATTTACCTTATTAATATTATCATATTTTAATTTCTATATGGTACTTAAAATCCTACGATTCTACGATTTGATTTTATGATTCCGATTTTACCCCAGTTTTCAATTTTAGGTAAAATCCCGATTTTAACTGCTTTGATCGTAGAACCTCCTCTGTAGAACGATCTGTGTTCGAGTTGTCCTTCTCCAGTCCATGTGCTCATATATGGAAAGATCGAACCTCGTCTTCAGCTCTTCGACAACGAATCGACGGTGGCGCATCCCTTGGGTCGAATGGAGGCAAAGCGGTGGAGAGGCAGCCGGGGTCGGAGAGGCAAGGCGAGGTCGCGGAGAGGTGGAGGCGGAGGCCGCGTCGGCGTCGGTGTTGGACATGGAAAAGGGTTGGGGATCGAAGGAAGTCGAGCGAAGGGAGGTTGTCGCACAGGGAGAAGGGTGGCTCGATCGATCGATTTGTTTAGGGTTTCTATCTCTCCACTCCATCCCTAGACGCCGGTATCGGTATACCGAGAAACCGTCAGTATATACCGGCAGAGGAGCCGGTATACCGAAATCCTTCGAGGCGCTACCGACTACTGATACATCTCGGTCTGTCGGTAATCGGTTAAACCGGTAACCGGGAAACCGATTGTCAATCCTATCTCAGAGTATCCATAAGAGCGTGGTGTATACAGTAGGTAAGTGTTTAATCCGAAATTATCATATTTGTTTGGCTATGGGGTGATTTCATTTCATGGTACTTATTTGGGCTCCTTTGGGAGTAAAACCAACATCAATGGTGTTATGGGATTATATTATTCTAAAAATTTAGAAAAGCACTGTTGTATGGAGGGAAAAGCTTATGTCCTATAGTGCTTAATTGATTCTTATTAAAAGTGTTTGTTTCAATTTTCCTATATATCATACTAGGATCTTTGCCCGAACCGTTGGTTGGATTTGATTATTCGATTAGACATCAATTTAAATCATGAGTAATTTTTTAATCTTCGATAATCTAAAAAGATTAAAAAGTGAAACCTATATAATCTCGTTGGATAAGTTTTACATTTGCTGTACGTAGTAGTGGATGCAATATAGTGAGACAAATTACTAAAAAGTTATCCTTTGTAAGCAAGCCCATACATAAGAAAAAACAACTCCCTAAAAGTTCAATAACCTAAATGAAAATGTATGGCTGAGAAATAACAACATAGCGTATTTATTTTTAGATTTTTTCGAAAGGGAAATGTGATGTCATTATTAAGTTAGCATGATGATTGCTCAAAACCGCATAACCTGCACAATATTGTTGTTTCCCTTTTTTTTAGAAGGTGGGGTGCTAAAAGGGCACCCTGCCTGACACGTTAAATTAATCGAGATTGGGCAATGCCCATAATATCATACAAGACCCAATACGACAGGCCCGGATCACACATGCTAAATCTATGAATACCTATGCTCAGCTTATGGCCGCGATTCGCGAGGAAGTCAGCCGCTTTATTACATTCTTGGTAGACGTGGGAAAGTTTCACTTCCCAGTTTTGATTAAGAAGTTTCCTGAACTGGAGGATGAGCTTATGATACCTCTGATCCTCCAGGTTGGTGGCGGCGAGTAGCTGGAGGGCGGCTATGGAGTCCATCCCAACCATGTCTTTCCTGTAACCCATATCCCAGGCGAGTTTCAACCCTTCAATGACACCCTTTATCTCTGTGCGGGTGATCGTACAAGCTCCGAGGTTCCCTTTTTTACGAGAGAAGGATTGAGAATTTGACCATGTAGATATCACTATTGATTGATTGAGTTAATGACCTTTTCATCTTTAAAGTTGTGTAAATGTGTTGAAACCAATTATTTAAAGAAGACAAATTTCTTTATTGTTTGATAGAAAAAAGTATTATTGTGAAAGATTGAACTGATGCTCATCGAGTTTATTGATTGTTAAGGTATTATTCCTTGCTTTTGCTTTTGATGTTGAGCTCAACTCTAAACCTGCATAGTTAAGTAGTAGTGATGAGATAACCCTTCACTTGAGACCCACAACACCCTTGTGAATGAGTTGGATGGGTTTTCATTTCTTTTGAGTAACTGCTTCTTTTATCAAATGAGTTAGAAGTTCAATACAAAGGGTAAACATATAGGGTGATAGGGGACATCCCGGTCGTAGGCCTCGTGCAGGTTAAAAATGTGTCATGTGAGATCAAGTGTACGAATTCTTGCAGTATAATAATATTATTATTATAGATATTGCGATCAGGCACAAAGCTCGTATAGGTGGGTTGAATGAGTTTGGCCATTAGAGGTATTAGCCAGTTATATAACACCTTGCACTTTCCAATCGGGTGAAAATCAGCTGTCAAGGTCGGGTTTTGCTTCTTTGGGATGAGGGTGAGAATGGTCGCATTCACAGTAGCAATGGTCTCCGGGCCCCTGAAACACTTAACAATAAAATGTGAGAAAGAAGCACATATGACCTACCGTATACTAGCATCAGAAAGAAGAGAGGATGGTAGCCGTATTAAGTTGAAGCAAAAGATCCTCGCTTGAGAGGTCATTGTGAAACAGAGTAAAGCAACAAACCTTACTATATCAATGGTGATGCGGGGCCCGCGTCGAGAGGTGGCTATTTGGTGGAGACCGGCCCTGACATGATGGATCACAGTGAACTCTAATGGTTTACTTTTGCAACTGTGAAGGTTCACTACTGCATTAGGCGCTCTTAGAGACAAACATGATCGCTTATTAGAGACCTACTTAATGAACCTAGGAAAATGCACAATCACTATTCACTTACGCAGAGCTGCGTGGTGCACTTCAAAATGCTCCAGCTTGCTTGGGACACATGGTACCAAAGGTGGAGCTTCAACTTGACTCCACAACAACTGTGCATCTTCTTTCTCCTGCTGCTTCAGTCGACCACCAACACGTGAGCACTGTGCTTGCTTTTCAAGAGCTTCAGGCTAGAGACTGGAAACATGAGTTGTCCACATCTTTCGCGAGGCCAATTTCTTGACAGATGGTCTCGCGCACAAAGACCATGATTTAGATCGTGGAACGTTTTTTTTTTTATTGTTTCACATTGAGTTTTGTATCACTCTATCAACGGTTTAGTTCTTTCGGTTAATGGTGAAGAGGTACCCATTTCATAAAAAACAATCTAATTAATCAAAAGTCTTCCTGATTTTGGATCCGCTTAAATTACACCTTTATTGTTTGCACTTTCATATAAGGATTTAATAAGAGGGGGAATGGATCAGGTTAGTAACCTTATGGTGAGTAACCATGAGTAACCCGTCCACATCAGCATGACATCAGCATCATCTCTCTCATGGAAAGCCTTTAATTTTTCCCTTTTTAATCTTTGACGGACGATTTCTCCCTCATTTTAAGTCGAAATTTAATTTTTTTGCACAGTTAGATCAGATTAATTGTGCTCTTCAAAATGATATCCACTTTAATATATTTTTCGAACAAAAAAAATTGAGCCATTTTTTACCAGCCTATACCATATGGTATTGACTGGTATTGAAATAAAAGCATACCTATGTTTTAAAAAACGTACCATGGTGGTATGAACAAACCAATACTGTAAGATGGTTGAATACAAGATAGTAGAAGTATATTAATTGTAATTTACGACTTTTAACATTGTATACCACACAATACCACCTCGTACCAGGGTGGTATTGTATGGTATTGTGTGGTATTTTTTGGTCCTGTAATTTGTTCACCCAGAAATTTGTAGATCCAATAGATCATGATGAACTCGTCCCTTCTGTGCAAATGTTTTCAAAAACGAATTAAAAACGAAGAAGATACCATACAATACCACCCTGGTACGGGGTGGTATTGTATGGTATTGTGTGGTATTTTTTGGTCCTGTAATTTGTTCACCCAGAAATTTGTAGATCCAGTAGATCATGATGAACTCATCCCTGCTGTGCAAACGTTTTCAAAAACGAATTAAAAACGAAGAAGATACCATATGGTATGCAGTTGGTACCGAGAGACCAGAATTTTTTTTTCCTAAAAAAATATTGAAAATTGATATCATTTTGTAGAGCACGGTGAACTCGTTCCATCTGTGCAAAAAAAATTAAAATCCGAGTTAAAACGAAAAAGATATGAGTCAATTAAGAAAGTCAGTGAAAATAAAAATAGTCTTTAATTCTTCATCCTTAGATATGGATTTTCTAAATGAAGGGTCCAGATTTGGTTATTGATGGTTATGCACCCTATCTTGAGCCAATAAAAGGGGGAGTTTGATTTGAGGCCATGCTTATCCACCTTCCCCATTTGGCATCAGGCTTCTATCAAGGTATATTAGAAAAAGACCTGGAAATTATATTCTGCTCGTTCATTTTTAAAAGGTTAGTTCTCCACTTCGCCTACTTTGTTCTGTTGTTTTCTTGTGACCTCAAATTAAAGTATCTATCTAGCCTGCACAGCCGGCAATGATCAATTTCCTACCCAAAACAACCAATTTGTAATCTTCTTTCTACAAACAAAACAGCTAAATCGAAGTGGATATCTAGGGAACTCCGATGTACCTGCGGTGTCGTTTGACAGCCACCTTTTTTCTACAACCCCATTTCTCAATCCCATCGATGGCCATGCTGATTCCTGTCAGCATTTGGCTATAGGATGCATATGCTTTGTTCTATACCTAATCCAAAAGATGGTATTAAGTCTTCAGCTAGATATGAATGAATTTCTTACTCTGTTTCTGTAGGCCAAAACAGAGCAAAAATGACTAATAAGTCATCCTGTTTATTATAGATATTGCGATCAGGCACAAAGCTCGTATAGGTGGGTTGAATGAGTTTGGCCATTAGAGGTATTAGCCAGTTATATAACACCTTGCACTTTCCAATCGGGTGCAAATCAGCTGTCAAGGTCGGGTTTTGCTTCTTTGGGATGAGGGTGAGAATGGTCGCATTCACAGTAGCAATGGTCTCCGCCCCTGAAACACTTAACAATAAAATGTGAGAAAGAAGCACTATGACCTACTGGATACTAGCATCAGAAAGAAGAGAGGATGGTAGCCGTATTAAGTTGAAGCAAAAGATCCTCGCTTGAGAGGTCATTGTGAAACAGAGTAAAGCAACAAACATTGTGAAACAGAGTAAAGCAACAAACCTTACTATATCAATGGTGACGTGGGGCCCGCGTCGAGAGGTGGCTATTTGGTGGAGACCGGCCCTGACATGATGGATCACAGTGAACTCTAATGGTTTACTTTTGCAACTGTGAAGGTTCACTACTGCATTAGGCGCTCTTAGAGACAAACATGATCGCTTATTAGAGACCTACTTAATGAACCTAGGAAAATGCACAATCACTATTCACTTACGCAGAGCTGCGTGGTGCACTTCAAAATGCTCCAGCTTGCTTGGGACACATGGTACCAAAGGTGGAGCTTCAACTTGACTCCACAACAACTGTGCATCTTCTTTCTCCTGCTGCTTCAGTCGACCACCAACACGTGAGCACTGTGCTTGCTTTTCAAGAGCTTCAGGCTAGAAATTGGAAACATGAGTTGTCCACATCTTTCGCGAGGCCAATTTCTTGACAGATGGTCTCGCGCACAAAGACCATGATTTAGATCGTGGAACGTTTTTTTTTTTTTTTTATTGTTTCACATTGAGTTTTGTATCACTCTATCAACGGTTTAGTTCTTTCGGTTAATGGTGAAGAGGTACCCATTTCATAAAAAACAATCTAATTAATCAAAAGTCTTCCTGATTTTGGATTCCGCTTAAATTACACCTTTATTGTTTGCACTTTCATATAGGGATTTAATAAGAGGGGGGAGTTTGATTTGAGGCTATGCTTATCCACCTTCCCCATTTGGCATCAGGCTTCTATCAAGGTATATTAGAAAAAGACCTGGAAATTATATTCTGCTCGTTCATTTTTAAAAGGTTAGTTCTCCACTTCTCCTACTTTGTTCTGTTGTTTTCTTGTGACCTCAAATTAAAGTATCTATCTAGCCTGCACAGCCGGCAATGGTCAATTTCCTACCCAAAATAACCAATTTGTAATCTTCTTTCTACAAACAAAACAGCTAAATCGAAGTGGATATCTAGGGAACTCCGATGTACCTGCGGTGTCGTTTGACAGCCACCTTTTTTCTACAACCCCATTTCTCAATCCCATCGATGGCCATGCTGATTCCTGTCAGCTTTTGGCTATAGGATGCATATGCTTTGTTCTATACCTAATCCAAAAGATGGTATTAAGTCTTCAGCTAGATATGAATGAATTTCTTACTCTGTTTCTGTAGGCCAAAACAGAGCAAAAATGACTAATAAGTCATCCTGTTTAGTTTCGGCAATCTTCTCTGTTCTCCTAGTTCAGCTTCTCTTCTCTCCCTCCAGTTCATTGCAGCCACTCGCCTTTGACGATTCATCAGTCTACGAGACATTTCTTCAGTGCCTTGAATCTTACTTAAGCCCACATGACCAAATCTCAAACCTCGTCTTCACCTCAACCAATTCCTCCTACACCTCAGTCTTACAAGCCTACAAGCGGAACGCCAGGTTCAATTCTGACCTCAAACCTCTAATCATCGTCACGCCTACAAGCATCCCCCACGTCCAGTACGCCGTGCTCTGCACAAGAAGGATCGGTTACCGGCTGAGAATCCGCAGCGGCGGCCATGATTTCGAGGGGCTTTCCTACGTCTCCGATTCACCATTCTTCCTCATCGACATGTCCAATCTGCGTTCGATTGAGGTCAATATCGAGACGAATTCGGCCTGGGTTCAGTCTGGTGCTATTCTAGGCGAAGTCTACTACGCAATCTGGGAAAAGAGTAAAGTTCACGGCTTTCCCGCCGGCGTATGCCCCACGGTGGCAGTCGGCGGTCACTTCAGCGGCGGTGGGTACGGCAACATGATGAGGAAGTTCGGGTTGTCGGTGGACCACATCGTTGATGCTCAGATCGTCGATGCGAACGGAGACCTTCTCGATCGGAAATCCATGGGGGAAGGCCTCTTCTGGGCGATCCGCGGTGGCGGCGGAGCCAGTTTTGGCATCGTCATTTCTTATAAGATCGAGCTTGTCGAGGTCCCAGAAACCGTCACCGTTTTCCAGGTGGAGAGCAATCCCGATGAGGGTTTGGCGGATTTTGTCTACCGGTGGCAGGTTGTTGCTCCGACCACTAGCAATGATCTGTTCATGAGGCTGCACTTCTCTCACCCTATAACAACGCAATTGGAACAGGGGAGCAATGGTACTGCCTCCTTTCAGGTGTCCATTCAGGCACTGTACCTGGGGAAAGCTGATGATGTGGTTTCCTTATTGAGCAAGGATTTCCCTGAACTGGGTCTGAAGAGGCAGGATTGTACGGAAATGAGCTGGATTGAGTCGGTGTTGTGGTATGCAAGTCTGAACTATCGGAGTTCTCCAAAGGTACTGCTCGATAGGAAAGTGGTTCGATCCCCCAACGACACGAATTCGGCCAAGAGGAAATCGGATTTCGTGGTGAATCCGGTGAGCAGAGAAGGGTTAGGCGACATTTTGAAGCGGGTGGCTGGGCAATTGCAATTCAGCATGGCGTTTAGTCCACACGGTGGAGAAATGAGCGAGATTCCGGCTTCGAGCAGTCCATTTCCACATCGAGCTGGGAACTTGTACAAGATCGAGTACGTGGGGAACTGGAACGAAGCAGGGGAGAAGGCTGAGAGAGCTGTGATGACCCAGTTGAGAAGGATGTACAGTTTTATGGCTCCGTTGGTGTCGAAGAACCCCAGAAGAGCGTATTTGAACTACAGGGATCTTGATATTGGGAAGATGAGTCATGGCAAAGGATACCGTAGCTATGAAGAAGGGAAAGTGTATGGGATGAAGTACTTCCATGGGAATTTTGATAGATTGGTGAAGGTGAAAACTGAAGTTGACCCTGCTAACTTCTTTAGGGATGAGCAGAGCATTCCAACTCTTCCCATGAAGCTTTGATGTTGAATTGTACGATTTCTGTTTCTAAGAAGCATCTTGGTAGTGTGCATTTGCTTTGTGAGAAGATGGTGACATAGACTAGTTGAATTCATTTCAATGATTCTGTAAGTTGCTACGGTAGCATATTACTGTGGCTCGTGTGTTGCCGACCGGGCAATGTTGGAATTTGCAATCATTGTCCAATCTTCTTGTCATCCACAAGAAAGAATCAAAGAAAATGAAAGATATTTGCTTGTTTAATCAAGAAAAGATAAAACCTTGAAATACATAAGTGTTTGTAACGTTGCTAAGCAATAAGCAATTGGGATGTGAACGATAATGATATAGGAAATAGTCCAATTCATTTTTTTTTTCTTCTTAATGGTGGCACATGAGTTGAACAAATGATAGAAACTTGACAAATGACCAATACTCGACAATGAAGAAATTATATTTCTTGAGGTGAAGTAGATGCCTCTCCCCTAGATGGATGTTGGTAGGGTTGGCATATTGGTTTTCAGTTAGCGGTTAACCGCCGGTTATAACCGGTAATCTATGATTAACGACTAAACGAAAATTGATTTGTCGTTATGTCTGTCGATTGATGGAAGGAGAATGGTATGCTTCGGTTATCGAGTAACCGACGACGATTAACCATGGTTAACTGAAGCTAACCGAAAATGGGAAAAGATTGAGTGGTTTATAGGGAAGTTAATTAATAAATAGTTATTGACGAGAAACTCTAATTGGAAAGTTAATTGGGAATGCTTCAATTAGTTGATTTTTAATTAATTAGTTTCCCGAATAAGTTAATTAATGAGTTACGTTAACCACCCTAATTGATTTTTAATTAATGAGTTATCCTAACCAGCCCTAATTAATTTTTAATTAATGAATTATGTGAACTACCCCTAATAATCCTCCGCAATTAATTAATTTTTAATTAATTAGTTTTCAAAACCCAACCACCCTCCACTAGGGATGGCAATGGGTCGGTTTGTGGCGGTTTTTTGTCAAACCCGAACCCAAATCCATGGGTTTATCTGTCAAAAAAACCTGGAGTAAAATCTGTTGGTTTTGAAAAACTCAAACCCAACCCAACCCGTTGGGTATCCTCGGGTTCATGGGTACCCGAGGATTTTTGTAGTAAAAAATTACAATAACAAGTTTCTTTCAAAATAAAATTTTAACATCAATTTTATCATACAAATTATTCGTACAAAAACACCAATCTAGAGCATACAAGCAAACCACAAATGATCAATACAAATTGTTCAAAATTAAAGATATCAACATGATTAATTGAAAGCTTTTTCCTCCTTATCAACTAAACTTCTTCACTCTCCACTCCACAATATCAACTTTATTCTAAACAATTAGAAAGAACAAATACAAGTCTCCACAAACATAAAGAATATTAGTTATTTAAGGAAGATATATTATTTAGAATATTAAATATACCGAGAAAGTAATTATATGTGTGTGGGCGGATACCCATGGGGCGGGTATACCTAAACCCAAACCCAACCCGATGAACAGTGTAGCGGGTTTAAACCCGAACCCGGCCCAAATCCTGTCAATAAGGGTTGGGTCGGGTGGGTACCCGTGGGTTCGGGTTTTGTTGTCATCCCTACCCTCCACCAAACTTTCGGTTCCGGACCTTCCGGCTTCCCCTCGTCGACCCGCTCCGACGGCCCCATCTCCCCTCCCCTACGACGCGACACCGCCTTCCTCTTCATCTTCTTCTCAGAGAGTTACGAGCTAGAGCCAGAGACAGCGAGCCAGTGCCGTCTCCCCTCGCTGATCTCGCTCTGACCTTGCCATCTCCACGCAACGCCTTTCTCCGTCGAGCCAGAGACTGTCAGACAGAGAAGAGGCAACGCCGCTCTTCCGGTGACCACCCCCCCCCCCCCCCCGACATTTCGGTTGCACAGGCCAAAACCTGGAAACCGAGCGGTCGGTTGGTCGATTAACTATGCCTCTAATTCGGTCGGTTGGCGGAGGGTTCTGGTAGTGGTTCGGCTAACCAATAACCGAGTTTTCAGTTTTCAGTTAAACTGAAATCTACGGGTCTCCACCCTTAGATGTTAGTGTTCCACAACACCACCTTTAAATAGTAACGTTATGTTTGGCAACAGGGAGATACAAATTTGAGGGGGTGCAAATTGAGGGGTAAGTTGTAGGGGACACATTGAGGAGGATGTAAATTAATTTCGTACTAATCAGATAAACGGTCGCCAGCGGGGTCGACCTTGCGTCCCCTCAATATACTAGCTTACATCCTAGCATAGGTGTCAAGCATCCTAGCTTACATCCTAGCATCCCCAGCGGAGTCGCCAACTGTCGCAAACGGTCCGTCCGCGACGCGGCGCGAAAAAGAGGAGTCGCCACCAATCTCTCAAAGTGGATTGGACACTTGGGAAGTCAAGCATAAATCGGTTACGATTTAGGCTCGGCTCGGTCTGCGAAATAGATTTATGGGTTCGGGGGTCGGTTACGAGTAAGGAAGGTATTAGAACCCTTACATCACCCTAAGTCGGTACTATAAGTTTGATTTGTCTTCTTAATTGATATTTGCTTGTTTGAAATTATTTGGATTTACATCGAATATGTGATGTCCTTTTTTTGACATATATTACATGTTCATCAACATGTATTTTTCGTTGGAAGAAAGAATTAATATTTTTGGTGAGATTTATGGAAAAAAGGTTTTATTTTATTAGTGGACTTGGACCCGTAGGCCGCCTACGTACCCGACATCTCGGGATCAAAGCCCTCGTAGTTCGCCAACATTTTAATTATTTTAAAACGTTTGTTTACGACCCATCGGTACGTAATAGTTGCTTAATTTGATAACGATCCATCAATCGTAATATGTTTGAGATGGATTAGAAAAGTATTGATCACGTACCCATCGGCACGTAATAGTTGTTTAATTTGAACACGATCCATCGATCGTAATTGTTTAAATAGGTTAGGCGATTAATTGATCATGTACCCATCGGTAATGATTTGTGTAATTTGATAAAATAATATTTTAGGAGTTGTATGGACTTGAATCTTTCGATCGCCTACGTACCCGACATCTCGGGATCAAAGTCCGCGTAGTTCGATTATCTTGATTTTTCTGTATGAAATAGGAATTAGCTTTAGTATGCAACTTAGTTAAGCAAATGATTGATTAAATAAACTTAGTAGCAATTAGAAATCAAGATTAGTTAGTGGATTAAGTGGTTAAACATTCATCCCAACGCACTAATAGCAATAGTTAAAAGATCTATAATTTTGACCCTTTTTTTAAATAAAATGGATGGTTATTTCGGTGACTTGGAAAATTGGTGACCGAGTTAGCAGTTTTCGTATGGTAAACTTGTAACCTCTCTAGGGTTGCGAGGTTAGTGTGGTAATTTTGATAATTGAGAGATCAATTGAAAACATACCTCGTCAAATCCGATGCAGAGGCAACTTTTCTTCCTCTCAAACGGCGCCATTCTCCGTCTCTCTTCCTCCTCTTCTTCTTGTGACCCGACCAGGGCAAATAACGGCGGCGGGTGAGTCGTTGTCTGGTGGCGGTGAGGATTGGCGATGATGGGAGCGCAGCGAGGCGGTGGAGACGCAGTGGTCTGGTGATACGGTGGCAAAAGCGGTGGCGCGGGTCGAGGACTGCAGCGGCGGCGTGGATGGAGGTGCCACGGAGTTGCGGCTACCGGCGATGATGGTGAGGTGGAGCTGAGCAGCAGCGGCGGCGGAGCAAACAACGACGTCGGCGGCTATACTGGTGAGTGTTTTTTGTTATTCCTTTTTTACTTTTCCTAATTTGCAAATGAAATTTTTATGTCTGGATTCCTGGAATGATTATGTGGGAAAGAATTTGGATTCTCTATGGAAATGGTTTCAGATGGCTTTTGGTGATTTTTGTTGGCTTTTGTGTTGGCTGAAAGGAATGGCAGAGGTTGGTTTTCTGTATTGCAAGCCCAGGATGAAACAACAGCTGATTTTTTGTTTGGTTTGGGAATGATAATCTGTAGAGGGATTTCTGGGAATAGTATTGCGATGGAGAGATTTCAACCAACTGGCTCCTCCCCCCTTTGATTCTCATCCTGCTGCCTCTTCTTATAGGAAACCGAAGACCACTATACACCCATCTCTCAACCACTTCAGCCTACTCCCATCTCTAAAATCAATTTTCTGTACCTAGATCTGATTTCTCTTCCTTTCCATTTATTCTTCTGCCTTGTACAACTCACCAAAGCATGGAGCTTGGTTATCTTTCTTGTTTTTGCAGGTAATGAGGTGAGGATGGAGGAGGTGAGGAGGAGCGGGTTTGGTTGGGTGAATCGACCGGTCTCACTCGCTATGTGGGTTGTTAGGACAAAAATCCGTGGGCTATGGGTCTTTTCGTTATTTCTCTTTTGTTGTTGTTTTCGTTATGGAATGGGCTGGAAGTCCAATGTGTAACAGAAATGGATTGTAATGTGGTGATAAATTTCTAGTGTCTAAACCTATCAGGTTCGAACAAAATTATTTAGTACGAAATTAACCCGGACAAAAATGGGTGTCAACGGTTGCCCCCCTTTGTATGTTTCTTGGTACAAGATTCATACAAAGTGTGATGTACGGGAACCCAAATCGCTTACCATGGTAGTGATCCTCATAAGACAAAATAGGGTTAGAACATGACAACACCGAAAACAACTTGGTAAGGATACTAGGAGCCAAAATCCTGTATATTGAAGGCGATTGAAATCGACTGAACAAGTTGAGTTTGAAAATGTCCCTGATGGGAGGCGACTTGATCATTTAGTAACGTGTTTGTGATAATAATCGACTAAACAAGTTGAATGAGAAGAGTCAAGTCGCCCATTTGGTAACAATGTCATACTCAAGTTGTTGGTGATGGAAATTGATTGAACGAGTTGAATTATGTCAGTGATAGAAACCGACTTAGCCAATTGGCAACGTGTTTGTGATAAGAATCGACTAAACAAGTTGAATGAGAAAAGTCTTTGATTGGAATCGAT